ATGAATCAGTGTAAATTTAAGTGTAAGGTCTTCAGTTCTGTTTTATTTCGTTCCGTGTAAACAAACAGACGTAAATAAACTCAATTCATATAATGTGTCAGTGTTTATGGAGTTCTGTTACGATCTCTGGAAAAATGTTTACAAGAAAACATAATCTTATAGTTCTAGTTCAAAACAATGTTTGGATTTTGATTTAAAGAACCTATTATTTAAAAAAAAAGAAGAATTGGTCAATGCATTTTATTTTTTTTTTTTTCGTTTCAGCAGATACACAAAAAAAAAAATTTCTCGTGAACTTCAACGTGTTATTTTTATATTTTGTAGACAATTAAATCTTTGTTATCTAAGCCAAACACACGAAAAGAAAACTAGAGAATTGTTCTTCTTTCTTTCAATAGGCCTACTTATTTTTTAGCATGGCCGTGCATTTAATTTCAGTCTGGTTCTGGCTTTTCATAAAAATATTAATAACTCATAAATACATTTCATCTGTTCGTCTCATGCAAATCGAATGTAAAAGTGAAAATCAAATCGTGTACAACTGCCGAAATTCTCTTTTTAGAGCATATGTGAGAATAATAGGCCTACATTATACGGATAACAGTATATGGATTTTAGAAATAATATGGATTACAAGTGATTGCAATAATAACAGAAGTGATTGATGCCAACAGAAGGAAATGCCATTATTTTAGTATGAATTCTGTAATAATGTTGGCAGTGAGTGTCTTTGTGATCAAGGCCTGCTTTAATGAGAAATCGCGCTCCATATTTTCACATCAGAGAAAAACAACAGCTGAAAATCAAGAAAACCCAAGCAAACTGCAGTTCACCGGCTGGAAATCATCGAGACATGTATTTATTTGTTATTATTTGTTTGCCTTTGTTACATGAGCTAATCACGCAAATGTGCATCTCCTCAGATTTATTGCCTTATTGTTAAATGCAGCCAGACGACATGTTTTTATGCATTATAATAATAATAAAAGGCCTAGAAAGCGTCTTTGGATACAGGCGAGATTCTGTTATTTGATCTTTGCGAATGAGCAGAAAGCAACCAAATACTGACACAAATCACTCGTGCATTAAAATGCAAATCCTCATAAACATCATTCTTGCATTAATTTTAATTTCAGACCTTCCTTGAAAAGCTTGCAGTAAAATGTTTATTTACATTCTCTGGTTACACTTTAACATGGTGTACTTGTTACAGTGTAATTATAGGCTACATTAAAGTACTGAGTAATATTAATTAACTGCATGCACTTACGATAGCATTAAGGTTTGGCTTAGGGTTACTGGCATGTATGCATAATTAATTGTTATTAGACTATATGCAAGTGCATGTAACGTGTAACAAAGGACACCTTCAAATAAAGTGTTATCAGTCATTATTTATGTTTTATTAAATATTTTCTGCATTTTCAATATTTATCCCACTGTAAACAGAGTCTGAATTTCCGCTGAGAGAAGCTTTGCTTTCAGAATCCGGTAATTGTGCAAAAACTGTATAAAGGCGAGTACAAGAACGGCTCAAATCACTCGTGTTTTATTGATATACTGAATTTATAGGAGAGCTGTAAAGGTCGCGTGACTGACCGTGAACACGTGATGTAAATGATTCCACCTGCCAGGAATTATTAAAAAGTGTAGGCTACTATATTATCCAAATATCTTGTTGTTTTTTATTCTGGAACGACTCTTGCTTGTCATGTATAGTATAGAAGGATCCGAAAATCACACAGATCTTCAATTAGTTTGATTTTATTCCAGAGCTTTTTCAGGAACATCTGAACAAGCCAAGGTTGGATTATTTAATGTAGGGTGTTTTAATGAACTGATGAGATGATGAATTTAGAAAATGAAATAAACACAAACGTCTGATGATCTGATCACTAGATGGCGCTATAAGCACATCACTAGCTATATATAGATGCGCAGATTTCTGAATGATATATTTTAACATTTTGTTTTATTTTAATTAGTCAGATGAATTAGTGCAATGTGACTTTTAGTATAATGCTCTATTTACTGGTTAAATGCTTGAAATTAGTTTTGTGGACAAATATTAATTGTGTCTGAAGGAATCTCTTCTCAAAAACTATACAAGTTTTGATTTTTCTATTTAATGTGTACAGTGAAAACATTGCAATGATAAACAATAATGTGATCTCATGAAAGCGTACAAAATAAATGTGCTAATTGCTTTTTAAAATATGAATAAAATATAAAAACACATTTTGCTACTTTCAAGAAGAATTTTATGCAAACTAGTTATATACAAAATTATCAATTTTCCCGTTCAGCTTAAGCCGTGTTATTAATTTCACATATATTTGGGCTGGTGCTGTTCATGCAATATTAATGATTTCAATGTTTGCTTTTAAGAACATTTTTGTTTCTTTTTTTAACACTAAGGGAAATGATAATTCTGCTACACAATTGTCAATTTTCCTGTTCAAACTATGCTGTGTTAGTAATTTTGCATATTATCGGGCTGATGCTGTTCATGAAATATGATAAAGAATTAGATTCAACCAATGTATTTTACTTGTTGATTACACATCATTTTCAAAACATTCAAGGAATTTCATTTACGTGAGTAATGTGGCATGTCAAGGAAAAATTCTGATGGTTTATACATAAATTATATGTATATTTAAGAGAATTTCAAGCCATGCACCATGCAAAACTATCACATTTTCTGTTTTCTTTGGAGAATCTGTGTGTGTGTG